TACAGGTTTTCCACAGAACTTAAAGGAGAAGTATTATAAGGAACTTACTACGACACAATAATTTCAATTACGACATAGCTATATACCTTTTAATAGATTCTCAAGTTTTCACATTTGATACGACAATCCTGGTATTGGCGGCTATTATTGCTTTGTAATTATATCAATATATCAAAATTTCTGTCATTTCTATTCAGTATATGACGAGTAAGCCCTTACCGAGCAAATAAACAATTATCTATATCATCCCAAAGCGACGTAAGCCAAGCAAATACCAGCTATTTGTATTCTGATAAAAACTGCAGTAGGCTACATCAGTAGGATAAGTTGACGACGATCAAATTACTTTCTTCTCAAACATAAACTTTAGTATAAAAGTTACGAATTTCGAAAAAGTTATAAGATGAATGAAAATATGCTCTAGCGTTTAGTAATGCTTTGGAGCACGACCAATTTCTAAAGCTCAGTGGGAGAGATTTTAATTTTTATTCAAGTACGTTCAGCTTGTTAGCGTATGGAATTTTCTTTTTTAAGCAGCGGAATTTCCAAAATGTCCGTGTTATAGAGGTGACTGTATATAAAAAGGCCACATAAATTTGATTAAGTTGTCATATATAGAAAAAGTACTATTGTTTATGCACAAAGGTACTGAAATTTTATAATAGTATAAGACTAAACTAAGATAGTGTTTTTATAATGTTTAGTTCCTCTTTCGTCTTCTTCGGTGGCGTCTGTCTTGTTCTGTCGTTTGGGCTTCAGCTTTGAACTTCCTTGCTTATTCTGCTTCCATTCTGTATCCACGCGAGCTCTGCATTTAATATACTCTGCGTGACTAAATTTGGGCTACTGACTATAAGGTTGAGCTGCAATCCTGGAAAAAAATTAGTAGACTTCTAAAATATTCAAACTTTGTCCCCCTTATACAATGTTGGTATTTAGGTGACATGTGTTGCAAATCCACTTTACCGGACCAACATTGTTTGTGGGGGGAGGGGGGGGGGTTAAGGTAAATAGTTGCTTTAATTGAAAAATGCTCACATTTTCATCATATGTTTTCAAATTTGGGTGTATATTTCGAAAAGTCTACACATATTTTTTCCAAGATTGTCTGAAAAAATACAATGGATAATCATTTTATCAAGTTAATTGTACCGTCATTTTCGAAACATAATTTTCAAATTTGAATGGACTCTATATTAGGAACATAATTCAGGGTTTTATTAAACTTTTTAAAGGCCAGGGGGTCGGTAGACGGGGGGGGTGGGGTTATGTAGGTGCCCTTCTTTAAGGAAAATTGTTTATCCAGTAAGGCGGCATTGATAAAAAATTATGGCAGTTAATAACAAAAAACTATCGGAGGGACAAATATGGCATATATAGATTATTACATTGTTCAATGTTTCATGACCGTCACATTTTTTCACATATTTGTCAATCATTAAAATTTTATAGTGCAGAAATTGTACCTGTAAAGTATGTTTCAATATGGTTTCAATATGCTTTTCTAGCGCATGTACCTGTGGTTGCCTCAAAATTGGTGCTTGTCTTAACGAAGATCTTTTTATTATTTAATAAATGTACAGTCTGAGTAAAATCACTATCTGTTACACCATGTTACTACATGTTACAGTACATGTTACAGTACATGTTACACTAAATGTTCTATATTTTATTATATATCCTCACATGTTGCAACATGTTACACCTACCTTTAAAAAAATCTATAGTTCCTTTTAAAAATATAGGTGTAACATGTAGTAACATGTCAAGAACTATAGTAAAGTATAGTACGTAATTTTAGTGTAACATGTAGTGTAACATGATGTAACATGTAGAGATTGAGATTTGTTCTAATTTATAACAGTTGAAAATGTGCATAGAGAACTAAAAACCTTAAAAATAAATTAATCCTAACATAATTTAAGACACAACCATACGATAAACGAGCAGAAATGTCTCTTAGTTTATTTATTCCAAGCGAACTCAAGAAATCAAGCAGATATGTGTATTTTATGAAATTAAGTTCGCTTATTTTCCGCGAGCAAACACTAAGTAAAACATTCTGAAAAGGGTGTTAAACCTACAGGACTTAAGTTGAAGCCAATTTTAAATTTACTATACACTCCGAAGTATAAAAACATCTAAATCGTTATGCTTGTAATGTTACTCTTGAGTGTATATCCACACCGGGTAAGTTTGAAAAATATGCTTGGCCACGGTGGGAATCGAACCTATGACCTTTGGAATACTAGCCCGATGCCCTTCCAACTGAGCTACACGGTCTGGTCGGTTCGAGTGTGTGATATTTCGGAACAGATCTAGTTCCTTCGATACCAATGTAATTTAGTAATCATGAAATATCACATACTCGAACCGACCTGACCTCGTAACTCAGTTAGCAGAGCTGATTGGGCTAGTATTCCAAAGGTCGTCGGTTAGATTCCCACCGTTGCCCGGCATATTTTTCAAGCTTACCCAATGTGCATATACACTCAGAGTAACATCACAAGCATCATATTCACCTGAGTACATTACACCAGGGCAGAAAAAATCTAGAATCGTGTCCAAATTCAACGAAACTGCAAGATAACCCGAGCTATGGGCAGTAATATACACCTATTTTCTGAAATCCTACCATCGCAAGTCCACGCCACGGAATTTTTTTTTTTGGATTTTTTACCACTAACATATGTGCCACTTGACTTTGATAACAACATAATAGAATAGAAAATGTTATATGTTCAAAAAATTTAATATCCGTCCTTTAAGTGTTTGCCTTAATTTAGAGACAATCCTGGAAAAAGATGAGTAGACTTCTTAAATTTTCAAACTTTGTCCCCCTCCCCCCTTATACAATGTTGGTATTTAGGTGACATGTGTTGCAAATCCACTTTACCTGAACCAACATTGTTTGTGGGGGGAGGGGGGGGGGATTTATGGTAAATAGTTGCTTTAATTGAAAAATGCTCACATTTTCATCATATGTTTTCAAATTTGGGTGTATATTTCGAAAAGTCTACACATATTTTTTCCAAGGTTGTGGGTACCTCAAACTTCAAAGCTATAATTATTTATTTTTCGCATTATATAATATTCTGCAATACTCTGCTTCTTACCCCGAAAATATTCTGTTGTAACATAAGTAAGAACCTCTAAGGAATTCTAGTTTTGACTTTATACGGATGCAGTATTATTTATAGCCACAGACCCGTCTTTAAAGGGGGGGAGGGGCAATGAATAATTTGATAAAATGACTAAATGACACACATCGAGCGGCGCCCAAGGGAATTTTACTGAACAACCCTCATCGGGTGGGACGTTTTAATAGCTAATTCGCCTCTTTTTAAGCAACTATTTATAAATATACAGGGTGTATCAAAAAAACGAAAACTATTGAAATCACCAATAACAATTTAATTGTTAGAATTTGAATGCCTTAGCACTCTATTGGTTCCCACGAGTGCATAAATGATTGACATAAGTAAATTTTATGCATACTATTTAAGAAGCTGCTTCAAATTCCCAAGAGCACAAATCGCGCACTTTACAAGGAGATGTTCTTAACTAAATTTTAATACATGCACCTTGTCAATATTTTACGCATCATTACGTTTAGCTTTTTTGCAGGGCATTCAAATTTTAACAATAAGTGATTTCAATAGTTTTCGGGTTTTTTGGGACACCCTGTATATTACAATAATTATTGCGAATGGACGGGTTGACGTGACGTGATTACGATAGAGAAATTTGTGGGTATATATACAAATATATATTACGAATGGAGGGGTTGACATCAGGGACGTACAGAGCAATATCCATGCAGTTGGGGGGTGCATGAATTCAACATTTTGGGCCTTCCTTTCTTTCGGGCCCCCACAAAAAAATTTTCCGGAAAATGACGGATATAACGTGTTAAAATTTTTTTCCAAATCTTTCTTGGGATAATGGGAGGTTAATGGGAGCTTTTTTTACCTCAAATGTTTCACAATATTCCTTAATATTTAACACGTTCCTTGACTTTCCTTTGGGGTGTTACACCCACACACCCCAATAGTTACGGCTCTGGTTGACGTGACATAATAAGTCGAATTTCTCTAAGAAACAATTCAAGTTCCAAAGAACGACAATTAATTATATCAAAAATCTCAAGTCCGATCCCTCAGATCTTGAAATAGTACATAAAATGTTTTGACTAATTGACCCATATAGTGGCTGACAATGCCCTCAAATTTAAAAGATTTTTATATAAAAAATGTGATTATATACCAACTTACGTAAATTTCTACAAATTCAGATACCTTGCCAATAACTCCTCCAGCTAGCTTCACGAAGTAATTTGGACTATGCAATGGATTAATTATTAAATTTACAGTTTTTATGAATCACAAGAAACAAACTAAACTAAGGCCTGTTTTATACGCCGAGTTTCGGTCACGTCGAATGCAGTTCAAACAATTAAATAATGAAGCTTAATGAGGTTTATCATCTCATTATCTATTGTCTTAATTGCATAAAAACAAAACAATTTGGGGCCGTTTTGTATTGGTAAAAATGAGTTAAATAATTACCTTTAGATCTTTATAGCCCTTTCAGAATTTCAATTTTTTGCACTTCTTGACGAAGGGCCATATCTTGTGGCCTGTTCATTCTGAGAGGCAACCCGGAGGAAATAGCTCTACAGATACACGTATATTCCAGGAAACGAAACCAAGTGCTATAACGACCATGCGCGCTTTCCATTTGAACAAAAAATCCTGTTTGCGTTTCCAGAATGTCTAGTGGCAAAATGGAACGCTACAGCGTGACAGGCCTTGTAAATAATGGGAGGCTTGTTGGGCGCTTTCCATTTGACGGAAATTCTGGAAATCTTGTTTAAAGTAACCTTGTTAAAATTCCTATTACCAAAACTCATTTTCCAAGAACTGAATTCGTTCCAAAAATTATTCTAACTAATGTCATGTCTCTAGTCCCTAAGCTTGACGAGCTACGTATTTTGACCTCTGCACAAAGTTTTGATTTGGGTTTTACAACTGAAACTTGGCTGCGAGAGTCCGTTTGTGACACCCACGCGACTTTATTTGATTACCACCTCGTGAGGCGGGATCGTAGTCTTGGTATCCACGGTGGTGTCTGCATGTACATAAAGAATTCTATCCGTTTCAAACGATTACCTGAAATTGAACATTTAGACTTTGAGGTTTTATGGACACACATTAGACCACCAAGATTACCAAGGGGAATTAACGGCATTGTTTCTGCGTGCGTCTACCATCCTCCAAGTTCCAGCAATACAGATCTTTTTCAATACCTATCAGACTCCCTGACACTACTGGAAAGTCTTTTTCCAGGCTGTGGAATTATTATTGCTGGTGATTTTAACCACTTTGACACTAAAGATCTTTGCCGAGATTTTCAGTTAAAACAATTGGTTGATAAACCAACTCGTGGTGCCAAGATTTTGGATCTTATACTTACAAACATGCATAAATTTTACGATGTACAACCAGCTATGGTTTTCCCTCCTTTCGGATTATCAGACCATAATGTGATAATGGTTGAGCCCAAAGTTAAAACATCATCAGAAACCACAAGTAGAAAGACAGTAATAAAAAGAGACATACGTCAATCACGCAAAAAAGAACTTGGTCGATATCTGAGTAACTTTGACTGGCAACTTATCGATTCCTCCAAACCGTGCGATAAGAATTGTGATATCTTATGCTCCGCAATAAAGACGGGTTATGACATCCTTATGCCTGAGAAACACGTTAAATTCCATCGCAACGACAACCCATGGATAACCGAAAAATTGAAACAGCTGATCAAGTTTCGACAACGTGCGTTTTCATCTAATAACACTACTCTTTTCAAATTCTACGGAAATAAAGTGAATAGAATGAGAAAATCTTGCCGGGCAGA